ACCAGAAAGTTGAAAAGAGAATTTTGTCTTAAAGTAAGAAATCAAAAATTTTTTTGACTAATTTCATCATATGGCCATCGTAATTATTTATTAATTAAATTTATAAATATTTTAGACAATTTTTATCTACAGTGAAAGAAAAACTAATTAGTTTAATAGAAATATTAAAAAACAACGCTCTTTTAAAGAGAATCTTATGTCTTGATTTAAGAATTTCTATTCTTGATATTAATTTTCTTAGTAAAGAAAAATTTTACTTCTTTAAAGGTTTTAGTTCGCTAGTCTACCGCTAGATGGCTAGGTGGCGCCAGTGTGCTTGCTTTCAAAGTTGTAAAACTTGGACAAATCATAGATTTCGTATCAATTATTGAAAATCTGTAAACTTGTTATTACCTTTAATAATTATTCATGGTTTTTAAATCAAAGATTTTTTTGAAGAAATTTTTTTTTAGTGTAATTTCATCATAAAATTATAAAAATTTCATATAAATTAAAATCAAAAAATTCCACCTGAAAGTTCATTTGCTCTCTGAGCTCTCCGCGTATATATTTTAAACAATCAACCTGAAGAAGATTCTTGAACCGAAAAGGTCGTAAGTTCGTCTTCAATAATAGCAGTGGCATATATTCACATATGTACTCGTACAGTAAAGTGATCTGTTCACTGCATAGCACAAATGATGTGATACAATACAGCGACAGGGTATTTGTGAGTCGTAAACCGATCATAATCGACATATCTTTCAGCACATACTGATGCGTAGTGTGTACTAATACGTGTACTATATGCATATGTGTACATATACATCCATATGAGTAAAACGTCACATAACTAACTATATTACATATTATACAAGCATTCACTACTACGTACACAAATGCGCAACATATATGTTTATATTTGTTCATGTCATGTGTCTCTTCTCGACATGCATCACACGTACCTTGACAATCCAACTGAATATCCTGTCTTGCTTAACGTCAACTACGTTGTGCATTCAATGAATCATTGATAAAATATTTTATTTAACTCTTTCCTCGATTTATCGATTATCCGGCTGAAGTAATTTTAATGTGAGTTGGAAATTTGTAAATCATTGTGCTTTATTGAATCAATGTATAGATTTGTATGTGGGTGTAAGTAAGTGGTGTGTATACTTTTTCATTGCATTGGTATGGAAAATAAATATTTCTTTTTAATTTGCGTCGTTGGGTAATGACTTGTTGATGTTTGTTATAATTATTTATTATTATTATTAATATTATTATTTTGATCGAAATTGAATCCTAATTTTTAATAAAAATTTTTAAATTATTAATGAAAAATTTCAAGTATTATAAATTAATCTGATTTTGATTGAAAAAAAAAAAAAATAATCTACAGTTACAATGTCCATATTTTAACGAGAAAATTTTTTAGTAAAAAATATGGAGAGGTCCTAGGGCGTTTCCTTTATGAATTACTCTTTAAGAATAAGTTCAGCGTTCTTTCATTTATTAATAATGTTGTAGTTGTATATATTTATATACATGATGCTTCTTACGCAATGGTGCGAATGAAACCCGTGGCACGTATAGTAATTCCGTGTGTGTATAAGATTTCAGTGTGTAAACCACTTTATCTGGCCACGCGGTAACACACTGCTAAATACTACACCTATATACATGCAATCCAAGAATGCACATACTTATACTTATGTTATACCGAGTACAGAGAAAGAGAGTGAAAGAGACGGTTAAAAAGCAACCACGAGGTTAACGGTGTTCGTCGTAGTATAGTATATAGTATTATATTATATGTACTATAACATATAGATATAGATACGGTAAATATCATCGGTCATATGTACTATAGCCTACGTACAGTACTTACTAACATAACATATATGTTCTCCTAAAACGGAAGTCACTCAACTAATAATAAAAGTGGAATTAAATGTATAATTATTTACTTTTTAAATGTTAATCTAATAAGAAATTGAATTATTATTATTATCATTATTTTCATCATTATCCATATTATAAGTCATTAAAATAATTACAGTTAAACTCAACCTAACCTTGTCATAATCGTTAAATTTTTTTAAATACTACATCAATTAAATTTTTTTGGTATACCAATATTGCTATAGAAATACAGGTCAATTATCATACAAGTTTTTAAAATTAAAAAAAAAATAAAGAGCACAATTCGAACGGATTTCTTTATATAAAACATGCCAGCGGAAGTTTACATTAAAATAGTAATTTTTAAATTTCTATTAAATTACACAGGATAGAGTAGAAAATAATTCGTCTCCGGTCTTATATTTCATTGGGACTAGAACGAGAAGCAGCGTATATTCCATATAAGTATGAAGAGTTGAGTGAAAATTCAAAAGCAAGATGTTTATGCGCACTGGCAATAAATAATAACATACCAATATGTGCAAACACATTGTAATAACAGTAATTTTTGTCGTTAAATTACAGATTTACGTTTCGCAAAGTAACATAACGATTGTACATTCCTATTCTAGTATGGCAATGCAATGGTTACCTCATGAATATCTTCATCTTCATTTATGCATATATATATATATGTATCTTTTTTCCATTTATGTATAAATAGTTGATCTTCAGTATAAATAAAGAGCTAGTATTTAAATTAGCGGGACTATTTTCATAAATTTTTATGGCAAGTGAATCACAGAACGGCTTCATAAATTGTAGATTTGAATTAGTTCGCATCTTTAAAGAGATAAAAAAGAAAATAATGATAGTACACACTTTATAGAATTTTTGATAAAAATGTTTTATCAATATTTCAAGAGATAGTTCATAGAATTAGGCAAAATAAATTACTTAAACCATTAAATTGCATTTTTATTCGTTAGATATTTTTTTAGAAGTATGCTAATCGATGAATTAGTCGTTTGAAAATTTTTTTTACTAAACATTCGGTAATTTTACAAAATTGTATTGTTATAATAATTTTTTGCAGCATGAAAAATTACACTGTTTACTAAATTTCATGAAAAATGGGTGCAATAGAATAATATAAATTCTGTGAAAAAAAAAAATAAAAGCTAACTACAAACTCTATTAATTTTAAGAAAAAGTGTCAATAATTTATAAAAATATCAAACAATCAGGACAATTTAAATCACAAATCACAGTAATTTTTTCAAGTAAAACACATACTTTCTACCATTATAAATTTATGCATAAAAATGTGTCATCCACTTTTTTCTCGCATAGAAAATAAACATATATTATATTATATATATAGATATTATAAGTAATAAAAAAAAAAACAATAAAATAAATGGTATGAAGAATTTAGAGCAAGCATTTAGCCACGGTCTATTGACAAGAAATTGTCTGGTGGAGAATAAGGCCAGCTTCACTTCATAGAGCAATGATTGAAATTATTGATGCTGTTTACTTTTTGTTCTACGAAGTCTTTCATTCTCATTCTCATTTGAAACTAAACAGTGTCAAAGACTATGCTTGTACTCGACAACAGCCGTGACACCTACTCTCTTGAAAACATCATCATCAACTCCCGGCATTTAAACCGATTTTCAATGAAGTTAAATAAAAAATTACACGCCGCTTTTTATTGAATATATATTCTGCAATAATTTGTTTTTATTTTTTATTTATTTAAATTTAATTTAATATGATGAATGAAGAATATTTATTATTTTTATAAATATATTGACTTGATATATTAAATCCTCGTTCAATGATTTTGCTTGATCATTTTCTCTTCTATTTTGTCGTAGAAGTAGACATCATATCAATTAACAACTGCATCAAACAGCAATACTTAAGATAAATGGCTGTATGTAAGATATATAGAAAGTCCCTAAAAACGTTAGGGATAACTATCCTACGCAGAAATAGGGGATGGAATTCCCCTAAGTGGCACTTGAGAACTCGTAACCAGGGTAATTTATCCCCTAACTTTAACGTTTAGAAGAATCCCGGGTTTTATGGGTTCATCGACTCCTAGGTAGATGCAAACGCACCGTTTTCATCATTCTTCACTTAGGTGTTGAGATAATATTTCTATAACGCTAAAAAAAATACTTGATTATTGAAAAAATATTATTTTGTAAATTTCATTCTCACTTCGAGATATTCAGTTCGAATTAATTCAAAAAATTCACGAATTAAATCATAAAGATAGAATAACGAGGATAAAAAGATAAAGTTACCTATTTTTAATAATTTTATCATTTCAACCAACCACTTTAATATTCTCAATAGTGGATAAAAAATCTTAAATTTTTCTCAGCCTTACACCACGAAAAGCGAGCACATTTACGCTACTGGGCCATCTATAGTGACAGCCTCACGAACTAAAACTTCGAAAAAGTAGAATCTCAAGCTAAAAAAACCGAGTTTTTATCTGAAAAATTCTAGAACCAAGTAGATGTTTTCAGTACCGCCTTATACAGTCACTAAATTCCATCAAATTAAAAATAAAGTAAAAATAGATCTTAATTTATCGATTGATAATAGTGTAGATGCAACACTTTTTTGCCTGGACATTGTATTGATTGTGAATAAGGGCTTAAAGAGGTCATCGACACGGTGAAGAGCGTCTCAAGTTATTGATAAGGCTACTCGTATCGGCAATATATAAAGCATCGCCAAATTACCAGTGTGTACTCTCTTTCGTCTTAACTCTTATCAAGCATCCGAGTGTATCGATTTTTAGGAAAGTAGAAGAGGGAACTGGAGAGAGTAGAGAGTAATATCCCTCTTATTCCATTATCCATTATCCATTATCCATTATAAAATATATATTGAATATGGGGTTAGTTAGCATTGGCTTTTAATATTGTGAAAGCTATTGGGTATCAAGTGAAAAATTACCTCTCATGTCCGGTGCTTGTCGATTATTTTTCCACGCTAATACTTGATTTTTTTCTTCTATTGTTTATTTATCGGCCAGATAATCGGTTTAGTACATCGAGATTAAACTATTGGGAAATAGATTTCGTGTAATGGAAAGTGATATTTTAGTTTTATCGCTAATCAGTATTGGGTGTAGTTGTGAAATAGAAAAAGGATTCTCCGGTGTGAAATCTTTTTGTAAATGTTTTTAAAAATTTATATTGATCAATACTAGAAAAATGATGGATTAAATGTTTTACTGAAAACTAGATGATTGATAACCGAACAGTGTATAACATAGTCCTTATTTTTTCATTATTTGAAGATTTGAACTTTATTAATGATGGGAATTAATCTAGAGAACTTACTCTGAAACTTCCTTCTGCTTTCTAGGTCAAAATTCATCATTTAACATCAAAATTATGCTTGAATTGGTCTGTTCAGGTTTAATGATTTTTGAATGATTGAAAATCATTGTAATTCTTGTTAAATTTTGGATTATTTACAAATAGTAAAAAAAAATACTATAAAAGCTCTTGTAGCTGCTTGTAAATATTTCAAAGAAATATTTTTTTTTTTTCTAGAAAAACCAAAAATTGTTTAAATATCTCCTGATTTTAGTATCATAAAATTAGGAATTATAATCAACAATATATTTTATGAAAATTATTTAATTTTCATCCCCTTGCTGTATAAAAAATTTCATATTAAATCCTTGACATCCAATATAAGTTTTTTTTAAAAAACAAAAGCTTAAAGAACTTAAAAATAAACAACTAGACCAAGTGATTATTTTTTTTATGTTCTTTATAAATTAGTTATCAACTTTCCGCATAGTAATAAAAATAATCCTTTCTACCCAGTAAGCAATAAAAATTAATTGATCGAATTAATTGCGCGTCGCTAATAAAAATAACATCGTAATATCAATGAAAATGCCTCGTTGGTCGTTATTGAAGACTGCTCTCCTCGAGTTGATAAGATAGGAATCTCATGATAAAACTTTTATTACCCACTGATAACAGTTATCATTTATCATTAAGCGACATTGATATTGGATAATAATAATTATTGCTATCATTATCACACATTACCCATTATTTTTATATCCAACCAATCTAAATAAAATTTTATTTATTTTTCAGCGAAAAAACAAAATGGAGCAGCGTTACGAGCGAATAGTTTGGGGTCAGGAGCACGAACACCTCCTTTGGAAAGAAAAAGTAAATTTTCTGCACTCGGTAGATTATTCAAACCTTGGAAATGGAAACGGAAAAAGAAATCCGATAAATTTGAAGCTGCCTCACGATGTAAGCTTTTCATTTATTAATTAATGATTTTTATTAAGTCAAAATGAAAAACTAATGATTTTTTTTCTTTTAGCTCTTGAAAGAAAAATTTCCGTTCGAGCGAATCGAGAAGAACTGGTACAAAAAGGAATCCTGCTTCCTGAAAGCCCGATCGCGACGATACCAGAAAACGGTTAGTCGATAATCAACGACATCTTTATTATCAGCAGTAGCAAAATGAAATTTTTAGTAAACCGATTTTTGTTCTGAACAATTATTCTGTTTACATTTTCTTTTGAATAATTTTATTTCATTTTTTATAATTTATTACTAACATTTCCCATTGAGAAATCAAGCATGAAAAGCTATTGTACCGGCTTATGACAGAACATTTATTAAAAGTAACTAGGTCGAAGTTGTCTGTGAATGAAAAAGGTCTATCATTTAAGATAGTTCAACGCAAATTTATAATACAAATATTCGTCTAGCAATGAATGTATTTTTCCCAAGAGTTTTTCTTTTAAAATTTTTATTTTTCTGCTTCATATTTACTCACTTTTCTTTCTTTTAATGTATATTTGGGTATGTTTATTTTGTTCTATGATTAATAGGCTATGTTATGGAGATACAATGAAATGATAAATGGTTCAGGTACAATGCAATAATAATTTACGCGGAAACGCTGTCTAAATTTTGATAACTTTGTCAGTGAGTTATTGTTATAATTTATAATTTTAAACCAGTTTGCAGTCACTTGATTAATATTTTTCAAAAATTCTTTTCTAAGCGAAAATGAGTGCAATTATTATAATAATTAAATTTAACTAATTTATTTCATGACAATTTCGTTCAAATACAAGTTATTCAAATTAGAGGAAAAATATTTAAGAAATTTTTCTTATTTTAACTGTCCATTAATTCAAATATCTCATGACTTGCACATTTATTTTGTTTATGAATATTAATAGTTCACAGAAATAACTTTTATATTTATGGTGCAAACACAATGAAGAATTAAATGTCGTTTTTCTTGTCAAAAACTGTGCAAAAAAAATTTTAGTTTCATTACAAATATCATTCTTAATTTTTTATTTTTAAGTAAATAGGGTCTTATAATTAATTCATCATAAAAGCTATTCTGATTTTCTTACAATAATAAATAAAAATTTTTCTGTAACAGGTACATTATAAAGTTAAATTTTCTACAAAAAAAAAAAAAAAAAAAAAAAAAAAAAAACCATTTGTTGCTAGATTTGTACTTATCTTACTATAGATTAATATTAATTTGGCACTCTTTTGAAAATTATCACAGATTAATACTTCCATAGGTTTCGACTATAGAAAAAAAAACTTTTTTTTTTTTTTTTCATTTTTGTCGAATCATTAAAACATTTTTATGTTATATTTTTTATAAAATTATATTTGTTTCAAAATACAAATTCAATGAGTAAATTTTTTTTTTGCACGGAAGTTGAACAAATATCTGTTTCTAAAATCAAAAAATTTTCGTAATTGCTTAATAAATTTTTCTAGAATTTACAATAATTATTTAAATATCCTCTAATTTTTTAATCAAACATCTAATTCAACAAATTTTCCAAAACTTGATCAATATTGTCTAAATCATTTCACGATCCTTTCTTTTCATAATTTATTTACTTTTTCTGTTGTTCGATTTTTAAGAAAAAAAAAAAAAGTATGATATTTTATAAATACAGCTTTAAAAAATATAAATAAAAATATCTATTTTTTATTTTTTAACTGCAAAAAAAATTTCAATACAAAGTTTTATCATTTTTCAAAGAACCAATCTAAACAATTACCAAATCTCCACAAATAAATGAAGATTGTAAAACAAAAAAAATATTTTTGTGATCAACCAAATATGAATACTGTAAAAATTGAAAAAATTTACTAATTTGGCCCTGTCTAGTGAACAACCGGACTTATAGATATATTTACATATGCATATACAAAATAGGTATTTATTTTTATACTTTTTTCCGGTTTCAACGAGCTTACGTTACTATTCAACCGTGGATTTTCTATTGAGGAACGAGATAACTCTAAAGAGCATTATCGACTTTTCTCATAAATTCTTTTTTTTTTTCTTTCTTCCGGCACAAAGAACTAGAACTTTTTTTCCTTATTAAATATTTATCCGAATACCCGTCTTTCATTTCGACATTCTGACCAACATTTATTAAATTTCTTTCTAACTTCACGTTAAAAAATTCAAAACATTCATCCTAATTACAACTATATTTATAAAAATTAACAGTAGTTTCATTCTGTTGCAATGTTAAAAAAAATTAAATTTATATTGATAAATTCAAAAAGATCTCATTAAAAATACTCATTATATTTTATCAACAAAGCAGATCTTATTATATCATCCATTATAATTGTAGATTCTCCGAACGACTCAGGATTTATTCAAAAGCCTCCTACACCCCAGCAGCAACATAACCAACAACAGCAACAGCAGCAGCAACACCAGCAATCACAGGGTGGAACGCCCGCGGCAACGCCGACTGCTCAACAAACGTCATCTCAGCCTCCAGTTTCAGGTACAAATTCAAGTACTACCAACAGTAGTAGTAACCAGAATCCTCATTCGATGGGCTCTGGGTCCAATCCTGATCAATCTTCACCTCATCTTCCTCAATATACGGGAGGAATGCTATCAGCTAATCAATTGAACGGCAACACACAAGGTAAGTTTTTTTTTATTCAATTTATTATTTTTTTATAAATTTAAAATTAGTAATAATTCATTTTTAATTGTTAATTATAATAGTAATCCATTTCAACGTATTTTATTTATTTATTTATTTGAAAAGGAACGCCCTCGGCAATTTACAAAGATATATTACATTTTCATGTGTAGAATCTTTAGTTAATATTTATATACAATAAATAACATCTGTAAAGAGAAGGTAGATATAATTTAATACAGATTATAATTTGATTATTTCAATTCCAAATTTGAAAAGGAACTATTCGATAAAATATAAAATTTTCGTCTAAAATTTTGTTGTCACAAGAATATATATTCTTGATAATTTTCAAGAATATATTTTCTTGTCTCAAGAATTGATCGAAATATTTTTTGTTTAATTCAAGCGAACCTATTCGTTTGTTAATCTATTAAAATTAATGCCAATATTTTATTATCATAATAGATATTGATATTCTTTTGTCAAAAAACCAAAATTTATTTTAAACGATTCTTGAGCCAAGAAATTTTTTTCTGGACAAAAATTTTTTTTTTCTTAGTGTAAGTTCATTTTTTCGACTCGGATTACCAAAAAAATTGAATAGTTCTATTTCAAATTTTGTGAATATTTTAAAATTATATTTTGTATTAATTGGTAATTATTATTATTAACAACTAAAAATATTCATTAGGGATGTACAATAATACCAGCTATTATATTTATAGATCAGATATTTAAACAGGGTCTTAAAACATGATAAACTACCATATTTTCATAGGAGACTCTACAATAAAAAATAGTTGGTTTTTTTTTGCGCTACCCTAATAATCACTATTTTTTTATACACATTATTATTATTTAATTACTTTCTCTGGAAGTGTATTTTATAAGAGACGTCAAGTCGATTTTATACTTCAGTGAACTTCAAACAGAGCTTTGGTTGATAATCTCATTAAAAAAAAAAAATTATATTTCATGAAAAAATATATTAAAACTTTATATTATTATCAGTTTTAAAATTGTCAAACAAATTTTTCTGAATTTATTTAAGTTTCAAACAATTGTTATTTCTTGATTTAAAAACAAGATTTTATTTCATTAAAACTATAGAATTAAAAAGAGTAAAGGTATCCCGTGAATACGGCAGCAGTAGTAGACAAGGTTATTAGGTTTCTTTGGTTTAAACTGAAGCCATAAAACAAGTACACTCGGACTTACTTCTGTAACGTGATATTATGAGCATTCGGTTGAACTTTGGTCTATGCAATTTTCTTTACCTCTTTTATTTTATTTTTATTTATTTTTCCCCCTGCTTAATAACGAGTTGTTTAATCTTGTGTCTGGATTATTATAAAGCGATTACACGGTTCGATTTCTTAATAATTAATTTAGAATTCGCGAAATACTATATCCCGTAATTTACTCTTGGCAGATTTATTAGGATTGAATAACTCGTGATCATTTTTAATCTATTAAATTCTTCATTGTGCAAATCATATTTTCGCTAAAATTAGTAATAGAAATATATAATAAGAACAGCTCATCAAAAGCTTGCAGGTCAATTCTAGCGAAGTGCATGATTATGAAATAGTAAGTAATTTTTGGGTGAATCTTTTTCGCTGAAAGATGATTCATTTAATCAAATTTAATATTTTTAGTATTGAGTTGTTTATTAAATATCTTACGAAATTTTGATTTATACTAATAGCTAGAATGTGATGAATTTAATGACTCATTTGAAAGTTTATTTACTGTATCAGTGCAGCTGAGAATATTCTGTAAGTTTAAATGCGTCCAAAAAAAACTTTATGATATTAGATATAATATTTATATTTTTAGTACTGAATTTTTTATTATTAAAAATTATTTTTGCAGTTTTTTTTTTTTTTTTTTCTCATCGTACTATTATACAAAATTTTTTTTTTCAAAATATTCCAATAGTAAAAATTTAAAAAAGTGAGGGTAACTTTTTTTTTATTAAGAATAAATAATTTCAAATCAATGAAACGTTTCATTATAATTTTTTAAGATTTTCTTAAGCTCTGAAAAATAAAGAATTAATAAATAATAAATAAAACACTCTTAAAAATGATTTCGTTAAAATAAAAATAGCAAAATTAAGTAAAACAATCAATATCTTGAAAAATTAACATAATAAAAAATATAATTTTATCCATAATTAACCTGAAGAATTTTTTTAACTTATTATAAAAGATACGATTATAGAAAAATATATTGTAGTAGCAAATAAGTTTTTTATCGTAATAAGCAGATTAGTTTTTTTAACAAAGTATTGAATATCAAGATAACCCGTATAGTATATCTGCTCCATGTATGTGTAATACATGTGTCAAGCAAGTTCATAAATCACCCACTACGTGGCGCGGCATCCGACTTTTTGTCCCGACTTAGATACTTGTTCTAGAGTTCTTAAAACCGATTTTAGAGCGGAGAAAAGCATACTTACCTGGCGCAGAGGATACCGTGATCACTAAGGCGGTTCCTCCAGGACGAGGCTCTTCCATTGCACTACGGTCGAGCTGACCCCTGCGAATATCCCTAATGTGGATATCTCGGGCGTATTATTTTTGTTAGTCGGGACTGCGTTCGCGCTATCCCGGATAATATATATCAAACTTAATCCCTTGGCAAGTTGGCATCCTCCAAAGATCTCTTTTTGTAACTAGGTTTCCGGATATTTTTAATATTTAGTTTGTAAATGTTGTAGACGACATGCTTGTTAAATTTTGCAGTTATAAACAAATTTATTGACGCACGTTTAAATATCATACTCAATTAGAAATGAAAAAATATATCTTGTTCTATTATTATAATTTTAATGAAATAATATGAATTTTTATGAAAATGAAGTTGGCCGACATTTCAAAATTTTTAGAAATTTTTTATTAAAAAAATTTCAATTAAACAATTAAAAAAAAAATTGTCACATGTAAAAAACTTGAAAAACTGTAAGTGCAATTTTTTATAAATATCTTTTTAGTTGTAATTTAATTAATAAAAAAAATCAAAAATTTTTACACGTCTCTAACTTCAGTGTCATGAATTTTTCATAAGTTTAAAATTTTTTCGGATCTATTTTTTTCGAGATTCCTTAACAACAACCGTTTTTTATTGTAACAATATCTATTTCTAAACTAAATCATTTTATTGCCATTACTTAGGCGATTTTGTTAAAATAACAGAATTTATTTAGTGTATTAAAAAAATTAAATTTGCTGACCCAATTAAATTTTTTTAATAATTGGTTATTAATTAAAAATTTGCAAACAGATGAAACATTTTACTAAATAGTATTAAATTCCAATAACTCCAATTACACTACTAAAATTTTAGTATCGAGTTCGTTGAATAATTTAATTGGTTTGACATTATTTATGGTAAATACCCGTGATCCTGTTCATTAATTGTATCTCGAGACAATTACATAATTTTTTTTTTTTTAATATTTATTAAAAATTAATTTTTAATTTTTTCGAATAAAAATTTGACTTTTTTTGTAAATAATTTTATTCTTAATGTATAATTGAATAACTTATTGCGTTATAAAATTTTAAACTATTCTTCAGGTGAAGACTACATTGAATAATTTATTAAACATCCGACTGAGTGAATGAGCTTTAATAATTAGTGAAAATTGAAAGTAATTGCGTATAAAAGAGGGTGAGGTAAATAATGAGAATGAGACTATGCATTAAATATAAAGTAGAGAGATTAAATTTGATTTTGCAAGGTAAGGATCAAATGTAGTACGAGGGTAAAAGGATCTGTCGTCCTACGGCTGAAAGACGTCAATGAACATTCATTTAGCGATCAATTAAAATGTCTCTAAGAATGATCCTTTCCCAAGTTTTTTATGCCTTGGGTGAATTCGGGGCTTCAAGTAAAGTGAAAAAAATTAAATTAACTCGAGAAACTTGATTTACCATTAATGACCGTAATTGAAAAAAATAAAAAAAAAAAAACTCGACTGTTTGTTAAAAATTGCACTTGTAAATATCAATATTTAGTTGGGCGAAAAAAATTGTTTTAAAATTTAAAAAGGTCAAGAGTTGTGACAGATATTATTAACAAGTTATTTAAATGTCGTAGCAAAATAAATAAAAATAAAAATAAATGTTAACTTTATTTACAAATTGGAGATGTATGAAAAAAATATTCATTTGAAGATATGTATTATTTAAAAAGTTTCGTTAAGTTTTGAATTTAATCAAAAGTTTCTCCGGCAATCTGAGATTTATTTTTTAATTTTATTTCCCGTTTTTAAAAAAGTTAATTTAAACTTCTCGGATTTATTTTTCATTGGTTCAGATTATTTAATTCATCGAAATTTAAATTGAAATTTTATCATATATACTTATTTTTATTTTTAATTCTATAAAGAAAATGATTGATAAGGATCAATAACGATGATACGAGTGAAGTGTAAAAATTAGATAACGTCGATCAATTTTAACGGTATTTTTTTTTTTTACCCATAAATTCATTTTCCAACATTTTCTTTATTTTTCACCCGTAAACTACGACACTCATGCGAAGGATAAAATACGGTACCATCGAGCCATCACTACCCATTTTGCTGTTTTATATAGTGAGAGAAGAGTAAAGACAGAGCAAGAGAAGCATTAAACAAACAAACGGTAAAAGGAAAAAACTAGAACAAAAAAATCTTGACAGACGTGCTTTCTCGAGCCTGAATTTTTAATCCATCATCTTCGCTATAAAATGTACTGTAATTTTTTTAAGTCGTAAAAACGATGAAACTTGAGGAGACCGAAAATATAGTATCTAATTTTTAGAAAAAAAAAAATTCAAGTATAATTTTTAAATAATTAAAAATTGTTAGCATAACTTTAGATAAAAATTCTGAGCTACATATGGAGAATGTAAAAAAAACTTAATAGATATTTTTTGTAGGAAATTAAATCTCCTGTAAAGGTCCTTAATAATTTTTCCGTATCTCTAACCCTTGAGCCAT